TCACCCAGTCCTTGGCTGGGGAAGAGAAACATAGTGAAGTGGCTTGGCCATGTGCTGAGGACCCCTGACATGAGGACCAGGGGAAGGTTGCTGATGATTGCTGTTCCACCTCACCTTCAGCCTTTCAGCTGTACTGGTGTCTTGTCTTAGATTTCTTTCCATTTCTAACCTTTTCTGTTAGCATATTCTAGATACAAGAGCTCGAATAGTTTGCTGTGTCTGGGAGCAAACAGTAAATGGTCAGGTTGACACCAGGCAATATCAGAGAATTGTCAGGTTTCCAACTGCTTTTGTGAACCTCAAGGCTAAAAGTAACAATTAAATAGGCAAGTATATATGGTCATTAAAATTCAAGTAGGCAGACAGTCAGATAATTGTATGCTGCTCATTATCCCCATCTCTTTAACTACAAGTCCTATAGCACTGTGTCTTTGGGAATAAATAATTAGATACATAAATTAGTTTTATCTCTGAAACATCATGTTGACTTTAGCAATATCACCCCCAAAAGCTTACTGTTGCCATAGTTTAATTTACTAGGGAATATTTTAAAAACCTGTGAGGGAAAGGGTAAATTCAAAGAAACATTTGAGCCAAAATCATTTTTTTTTAAACCATTTGAGTTTAAATATATTCAAGAGAGAAATCTGTGTGTGAGTTCTCTTTTTTCTTTTTTAATGGTGTGTGAGTGGAAGATGAACTGTGTGGGGTGGCGGGGGGCTGTAGTCTTCAAAATATGTCTTCGACTTGAAGGGGGTGGATATTGGAGGGAGGTCACTAGGAGAGGCTGGTCAGGAATCAGGGTGCTGTGACTTCCTGGCCAATCCCCCAGACATTCAGAGCAGGGCTGGGTGCTCTGCGGAGACTCCCCAGTGAGTCTCCCTAAGAGGTTCCCTGGGCTATCACAGAGCCCCCAGTCAGTCTTCCTCAGACGGAGCAGGTGTTCATGTCAGGCTAGCTTTATTGATTCTGTGCCATGAGCAAGTTCACTAAGCCCAGTGGACCTCAGCTTCTTCATATGCAAAATGGGAATAATGATAGTATCTGTCTCAAAGTATAGTTTTGAAGATTAAATGAGTAAGTGCTTTTAAGGTAAACTCACTTGTTTAGTAACAGTACAATATGTATTTCACATTTATTTGTTTATTTGGAGAAAGTTAGTTTCAGTGATCATGAAGAGGTTTTGGGAGGCGGTCTGTAGTTTTAATTTTTCCTTCTCACACCATAAAATTAAACTGTTTGATATTAAACTCCGTAGATATTTTATTTTCCAACAAACTGTTAACAGACTTTCTTTTTTAATTTTTTTTTTTGTGTGTGTGATAAAATACATACTACGTCCATAAAATTTAGCATTGTAACCATTTTTGAGTATATGATTCAGTGACGTTAAGGACATTCACAATGTTATGTAACTATCGCTACTGTCTATTTCCAGATCTTTTTTATCAAACCAAAGAGAAACTCTAATCCATAAAACAGTAGCTTCCCATTACTTCCCTTTCCCAGCTCCTGGTAACTTGTATTTTACTTTTCTGTCTCTATAAATTTGTCTTTCCTGGATACCTTGTCTAAGTGGAATTGTACAATATTTGTCCTTTTGTGTCTGACTTATTTCACTTAGTATGATGTCTTCAGGATTCATCCATGTTGTTGCATGTGTAAGGACTTCATTCCTTTTTGTAGCTGAATAATATTCCAGTGTATGTATATACCACATTTTGTTTATCCATTTGTCTGTCGATGGATATTTTTTTTTCCCCCACCTTTTGGCTGTTGTGAATAATGCTGCTATGAACATTAGTATAAAAATATCTGTTTGAGTCCCTGCTTTCTATTCTTCGGGTGCATACCTATGAGTGGAATTGCTGGGTCATAAGGTAATTCTGTGTTTAACTTTTTTGAGGAGTCACCAATATACTTTCCACAGTGGCAGCACCAATTCGCATACCCACCAGCAAAGGATGAGGGTTCCAATTTCTCAACATCCTCATCAACATTTGTTATTTTCCAATTGTTTGATAATAGCCATCCTAGTAGGTGTTAAGTGATATCTTTTTGTAGTTTTGATTTTCATTTCCCTAGTGACTTAAATCCACCAGCTGCTCCTTGGAAACCCTTTGGGGCAATTCTCCTCTGTCCTATAGGGCCGCTGTGAGTTGGAACCCACTGGACAGCACCTAACAACAAAAGAACAAGTCACTAATGATGTTGAGGATCTTTTCATGTGTTTATTGGCCATTCGTATATCTTCTTTGTCTATTCAACTCCTTTGCCCATTTTTTAATTGGGTTTGTTTTTTTTGTTGTTGAGTTGTAGGAGTTCTTTATATATTCTCAATACTAATCCCTTATCAGATGTATGATTTGCAGTTACTTTCTCCCATTCTTTGAGTTGTCTTTTTACTTACTTGATAGAGTCCTTTGATGCGTAAAAGTTTTAAATTTTGATAAAGTCCAGTTTATCTATTTTTTCTATTATTGCCTGTGCTTTTGGTGTCATATCTAAGAACCTTTGCGACATCCAAGGTCATGAAGTTTTCCCCGTATGTTTTCTTGTAAGAGTCTTAAAGTTTTAGCCCTTAGGGTTAGGTCTTAGATTTATTTTGAGTTGATTTTTATATGTGGTGTACAGAATTTCTTTTGATATAACGATGGCTAAGAAAAGAATTAAAAGATTTTGCAATGCAGATTCTTTCTTAAAACAGTTTGCTTGTTTATTTTCCATAGTCCCTTTGTTTATTGAAACCAGAATGTTCTTTGTTCCCTGGAACCTGTGTCAGTGTTCCTGCCACTCTGGTTGTTCTGTGGCGTTGACTGTTTGGGAGTTGGGACTTTCCAGCACAGAGCCTGCTGATATTGATGAAACATAAGGGTGTGATGCCCCCACTGGGCCTGGCTAGCGTCGGTCAGCAAGCACTTTTGCACTGAGTAGTACTAATTCCAGCTTCCCAAGGTATTACAGTTGCTTTTCTTTTAAAAGCAACATCACCTTTTTTTAAATTTTATTTTGTTGTTGTTATTGAGAATATACACAGCAAAACATACACAAACTCAACTGTTTCTACATGTACAATTCAGTGACATTGATTATATTCTTTGAGTTGTGCAGCCATTCTCACCCTCCTTTTCTGAGTTGTTCCTCCTCCATTAACATAAACTCATTGTCCTCTAAGGTTCCTGTCTAATCTTTTGAGTTGCTGTTGTCAGTTTGATCCTATATAGGTAGTTCTTAAAAGAGCATAATGCTCAAGGCAGACATCTTTTACTAATTATGCTAAACTGATGTTTGGTTTTAAGAAGACTTCAGGGAATATTTTTGGTTTAAGGTTTAAAGATTATCTCAAGGCAATAGTTTCAGTGGTTCGTCCAGCTCCCTTGGCTACAGAAAGTTTAGAGCCCATGATAATTTGAAATTGTATATCTTCTCCCTTTTGATCAGGATTCTTCTATATAATCTTTTGAGCAAAATGTTCAGTAATGGTAGCCAGGCATCATCCAGTTCTTCTGGTCTATGACAAAGGAGGCAGTTGTTCATGGAGGCAATTAGCTACAGATTCCATATCCTCCTCCTATTCCTGATTTCTTCTTCTCTGTTGTGCCAGGCAAATAGAGACCAGTTATCACTATGGATGGCTGCTTGGAAGCTTTTAAGACTCCAGGCACTATGCAGCAAACTAGGAGGTAGAACAGAAGCACTAAACATGTTATAAGGCCAATTAACTGGGATGTCCCATGAAACCATGACCTAGAACCTCCAAACCAAGGAACCAAATCCCATGAGGTTTTTGGTTGTACATAAGCAGCCTCAGCAGCTACTCTTTTTTGGTGGTGTAAATATATCTATCAGACAACTTTTGCCAGTTCAACTTTTTACAGGTGTACAACTTTTTGACAGCAATTACAATAATTGGCTTTGCAACCCTACCCTCAATCAATGCGATTTTCCCATCACCGTTAACTTCCCCCCTTTACTGCTCCCTCCTGCCCCTGGTAACCACTATAAACTTTGGTCTCTGTACATTTGCCTTTTATTGTCTTTTTATATAAGTGATGTCATACAATATTTGTCCCTTTGTGACTGACATTTCATTTAGCATAATGTCTTTAAACTCTATCCATATTGTAGCTTATATCAAGACTTCGTTTCTTCTGCTGGCTGAGTAGTATTCAGTTGTTATGTATATACCCCATTTTGTTTATCCATTCATCTGTTGATGGGCGTTTAGGTTGTTTCCACCTTTTGGCTATTGCAGATAGTGCCGCAGTGAGCGTTGGCGTATAAGTCTCTGCTTAAGTCTCTGCTTTCAAATATTTGTGGTTATACCTAGGATTGGAATTACTGGGTCATATGGTAGTTATATTTTTAGTTTTTTGAGGCTTTTTTTTTTTTCTGTTCCTATAACCCAGCCTAAAATTTTGGAAGTAGGAAGGGGAACAGAGGTGGCTAAACCTGGTTGTCCTGGCATGAAGTAAATGGCAGGAGTCATAGGCTTATAAACTTTGATCCCAGCTGTTGCCTTCTATTCACCAGCTTCTCAGTTGGCGTTTGGTAGAGACCCCTCTAAACAGCCTTTCCTAGATTTCAGTTCAGGATACTGCTACATGTACAGAACAAGTGTCTCCAGTTACCAACAGGGGTGCTTTTGATTCTTGCCCTTCCCTGGGAGCTTCGAGCCTGGGATTGGCCACTTGGCTCCAGATAGTCTCCAGCTTGGCATTATTCATTGGGCTGTTTTGAGGAGGAAGACTCTCAGCTGTTAAGAGTGATGCTAGGGAGGCCCTTGGCAGAGGAGACTAGATTCCTTGAGTGTGAAATATGGTAGTGGTGCTTCTGCAAATGGAAATCAACAGCTCATTGTGGAAGAGGGAGCTTTTGCACAGAACACATATATGAATATAAAAAAGCCCATTTCTCTTCCGTGGATTCTCTTCATATGGGAAGTTGTAGTTAGCTGCATTGTTTCCTCTGAATATTTTCCTTCATTTTCATTCTTGAAGGACTGCCACCAACTCCAGTCCAGCTGCTCTATCCAGTGTCCCGATTCAGCAATGTCAAGTCCCTCCAGCACCTTTGCAGATTCCGGATCCGACAGCTCGTCCGGATAGATCACATCCCGGATCTCCCACTGCCTAAGTACAATGGGCTCATTAGGGTTGGGACGGGGCGGGGGGGTTAGTTGCAAACGTTAGTGAAGCCTGCAAGTCGATTGTACGGCAGAGCTTGGCATAAAATACTTACAGACATCATCTTTTCACTTCTCCTGTGTCTTAGCACCTAACTCCAGAACTGTCATATTGCAGCCAGAAGGGAGAAGGTGTGTGTGTTGCCCTCCCTTCTGCTTCTTTATGGAGAGTGGAGTGGAAGTGGTAAGAGTGAGGGAGACAGAACTATATAATAAGTGAGAAAATGGGATCTTGTTAGGTCAGCTAAGAGTGTTTGGTATGGTCTCAACCATATAAGGCCTGAAGAAGGAAGGGTTGAACAGAGGAGGTATTTCTTTTATAATCTGTATAAATAACACTTTATGTGTGCCCCTCTTTTTTGTTTTCACAGACCTCTGATCACTTACATCCGGAAGTTCTACTACTATGATCCTCAGGAAGAGGTATACCTGTCTCTAAAGGAAGCGCAGCTAATTTCCAAACAGAAGCAAGAGGTGGAGCCCTCCACGTAGCTAGGGGCCCCCTGCTGGTCGACACCAAGGGTATGCTCTTTCTGTCAAGTGAAGTCTCTCTCTGGACGGTTACCATGCATTGAGGTCCTCCCTCCCCACAACCCTCTGTCCCTGTGTGTATACACCCAATCCAGGCATCTGCCTATTGAGGAGAAATCTGATAATAGAGTCCCTAACGGGGCACGTGGAGTCTGTGGGTGGTGCAGACAGTTAAACACTTGACTACTAGGTTAGCAGTTCAAACCACCCAGAGGCATCTCAGAAGACAGGTCTGGTGATCTGCTTCCAAAGGTCACAGACTTGAAAGCGCTATGGAGCAGTTCTGCTCTGCACACATTGGGTCGCCGTGAGTCAGAACTGACTGGACGGCAGTGAACAACAACAGCAACATCGCCTAATTAGGAGAAGGGCAGACAGACGTGAGAGGCCTAAAGAATATTTAGCAAGAAATGTACAAGCTAGTCAGTGGGAAGGAGCCCTGGTGGCACAGTGTTTAAGAGCTCAGCTGCTAACCAAAAGGTCGGCAGTTCGAATCCACCAGCTGCTCCTTGGAAACCCTGTGGGGCAGTTCTAATCTGTTCTATGGGGTTGCTACGAGTAGGCATTGACGCGATGGCACCTAACAACAATAACAACAACAATCACTGGGGGAAGAAAATAAGGATGAGGCACACAAGTATAGCTAAGTGTACAGCCTTCTCTCATACTTAACTTTGGTTGATCTCTCTGGTGCACAAATGATACATAAAGCAGGAAGCCAAAGGGGAAGAAAGCTTCATTAAGGAAAAAGCAAACATGCCTTTAATTGCGGTAGGCGTGCACTTCAGTAAGAGTTCCATCATGTCCCACAACTTGGAATATGGGGATGAGGAAAACAGCCTGCTCTTCTATTTAGAGAGTTCCATTTGGGCCTCTGAAAAGTAAATTGTTTAAGAGAATAAATGAATTAACTATGGAATTCATTTATCTACAAGGCTATTCTCCTATTGCTACGCTGACTGACTTATTTTTTATTTTCCCATAAAATATCTTGGAATGGTAGTTTGTGCACATGAATTCTAATTAGTCTCTGAAATTGCATTAAAGTGAACATTGAAAGGTAGAGGTGAGTAAGGAATGAAATTGCCAGAGAGCTGTGATTTTGGTAGCGCTGGCTACATGCAAGGTCTCACACTGTAGTGATCACCTGCCGATGTGCAGTGACTCCCGTCTTTCCCCTTAGTCTGGAGTATCGTTTTTAAGCTCTGAATATTTCTGCTTCTCTTCTAACCTTCTCTGTTACCCAGTCCCACACACAAAACAAAAGAAAAACAAAAAACGAGCAGTGGCCTTTAGAATGAAAAGGGAGCCTTAGTCTCCTCACCCTCTCTGCTCTCTTCCTAAAGGAAGAGAGTGACTACTGGTGTTTTCTTTAGCCATGGCTAAGGTGAATCTAGCTGTGTGTCTCCTCCTAGCTTTGGAACTCTTTGATCCTGTGCTCTTGGGGGAAGGCTGTGAAGCAGGTTAATAGAGAGTAATAAGAGAAGAAGGAATCAAGAAGAGAAATCAAGAAATGGTAACTCTGGGAGGCTGCAGAGTTTTAACTTAAAGAATCCTGAACTGGTTGCACAATTTCTTACCATATCTTCAGTAATATGCAAATTGTATGCCCTCAGAAGTGACTCCTAACACATCTAAGTGCTACAAAGATTTACGTCTAAGGGGATTTTTCTGCTTGTTGACTTTGCAGTCGAGATTAGGTTGGGAAGGCAGGGGAAAGGAGGTTCATTACCTGACTTTGCCCTTGAAGAGTAGTTAGGATCTCTCCGTTAGAGCGCTGCTTCTTTGAGTGCAGTGCCCTAGGAAGAACCCGATGAACAGGAGCACATTCAGAGAAAGGCCTCAGGACGATTCTGGGATCCAAGCTTCATCATATGGGGAATAAACGAAGGAACTAGAAAATGATTAACCTGGAGCAGGGAAGTTTTAGGGTTTGAGGGGCTTGACAGCTGAAAGAAATATCTGATGGATTTTCCTAAGGACGAACGATTAAACTTAATTCTCTCTGGTTCCAGGGGGTAGGACAAGGACCAAAATGGATGTAAGTTACAAGGAGGTAGGTTAGGTGTCAGTCCAATTTTGGAAGGACATTTTTAACAGAGAGTTCCAAATATGGAAAAGTTTTCCTTAGGAGGTAGTGAGTTCCTCAGTTTTCATTCATTAGGCAGGTATCTATTAAGTACCCAGTGTGCACTGGGAATAGAGTACTGGGCAAGACAGTTAAGGGCCCTGCTCTCATGGAGCTTCCACTCATGTAGGGAGAGAGAAACAGCAAACCTGTAAGTAAATGAATAGGATGATTTCAGTTGGCCATATGTGTTTTGAGGGAAATAAAACTGGGTGAAGTTCAGTGACTAGTGGTGGAGTACTAAAGTTTGGATGTTCAGGAAAGGCCTCTGTGAGGAGGTGACATTTCAGCTGAGATCTTAATATCAAGGAATCAGCGTGAGAGGACCTGGGAGCAGAGCATTGTAAATCGAAAAGCCCTGAGATGGGAAGGGTGTGCTATGATCAGGTCCAGGCTCTGATTTAGTGTTGGAGGCAGTCATGTATTGGCAGAGATTTGAACGGAATTCCCAAGGTCCCTTTTTGCTATGACATCGGGATTATTAGTGGCAAAGAACAAGCATAATGCAGTACTCAATCCTAATTTAGACCCTAGGACACCTTGAACAAAAGGAGGTATCACTTCCCAAAGGAAGGATCTTTAAGGTATGAAATTTGGCCCTTATCACCTCTTGTTGGTCAAGCTGATTTTAATTTGGGAGTTCTGAATGGCCCACTTAGGCCGTGTATGCTATTATCTTGGAATTTCATGTCAGGTTGCAGAGTAAAAGAACAGTGCTTGTCTTAAATCAGAGGGTAGAAGCTATACTGGCCTTTGTGATTATATGTCAACCCTCTTTAGTAGCCAGAAGCTACAGAGACCTAGAGCTGTTTATAGCCAGACTCACATGGGGTTACTTCAGGGGCTTAGTTTCCTTTCTAGTCCTTAGAGCAGGTAGGCCTTAGGGAAGACATGAAAAAAGATAGATGGGAAATTAAGGAGTAAAAAGAAGTTAGACAGTGTGGTAGGATGTATCTGTTAGTCATTTCAGTACCTGTTTTGGCATCTAAGTTGTAGGCTGCTTGGGCTCTTGACAAAGGCTGGGGTCGCATTCCCACCCAGCTACAGTATTTGTGGACTCATTTGACTATCCAGGCTCCATTCTCCTTTTGCACTGTAACTTATCTGCCTTTAGAGACCAGACTGTTCCTTCATTTTGTTTTGGTTCTACTCAGTTGAACAATTGTAATTTCCTTTTTTATCTAGGCATTTGGTTACCAAGCTCCAGTTTTGAAGAGCCGAATGAAGGTGCCATGAAAAGAGGAGCGAGGAAAAACAAGAGGGAATAGGAAGGGTCAGGATTCTCTGTGCAAAGACTTTGGTTCCCCAACACGGCCCTGGGGCTCGGAAGAAGCACACAACCATGTTCTCTGAGCAGGGGCTTCACCTTTCACATCCAGCCCCTGTGGTATCCTGAAACTGGATGAGCTCCTTAGAAAACTGGAAGAAGTCTCAACACTGTTTCTTTTTCAGAATTTTTATTTTTGATATTTCTATTTCTTGATATGGAAAACTCATCTTAAAGGCAGCTGGGGTTTGTGCCCATTGGATTGGAAGTGATGTGAAAGATGAGCAGGTCCGAAGGAGGGAAGGGGAGGAGAGGGGACTGCCAGTTACCATCATTCAGCTGGTGCCAAAGGCAGAGTTAGCATCTTCACCAAGACCTTGACAGAGGGAGGAAGGGGTCAGAGAAGTGCAAAACAAAATGGGGAGTTTCCGAGGGAATGAGAATCTGCTTCTGCGTATATAGCTTCAGCAGCAGTAGGAAAGAAAGGAGGGTGGGTAGTCTCGAATAGACGATTATTGGACAAAATCTGGCAGATGGCCTTTGCTAGGGGAAGTAGTGACTCCACATCCTTTCCTTTTAAAGTTTAGGAACCTAATTTCAGAATCACCTCTATAGAAGCTGTATTTGTTTTGTTTTACTTAATTCCTCAGCTCTGTGACCTCACATTAGCCCTGTTCTTTCCCTGCCTCCAATCCATCCCCCTTCGTGATTTCATCCCTATGGTTTCCGCCAGCTGTCAAGGCAGTCGTTTTTTCTCATCACCAGAGCAGTTCAGAGCTCCAATCATGGGCTGCTAAGGTTAATAGAGCATGCCTGCAGATTCTTAATGGCAAATCGTACCCACAGCTTAGGAGTCAGTGTTACCTCCATCTGTTTGTCAGCTAGCGAGAGAATATGGAGGAAGGTGAAAAATGAAGCTATTGTAGTTGTTCTGTTCCTAGAGAAAGCTCTCCTTCAGTGTCCCAGCCTTAATGGGATTTCTTCAGCTCAGAGGAGGAAAGCATTACATTGCATGCTTTTAGGTTTATCACTGTCGTCCCACTTCTGGGACAGGAGGTAGCAAGGGCGTCTTTATTTTCCTCAGTGATCTTTTTAGCAACCGAGACATTTCCTGAGTCAGAGTCTGTTTGGCCTTCATGCGTTGGGAAATCTGTCAGATGCTGATTTGGAAGTAGTCTGTCTTCCAGAAAGAAGTGGAAGAGGAGAAAGGAAAGCTCCCATGCTTTTCAGTGGTCTTTAATTTTTTTCTGAAGTGGGCCATTGCCAAACCATATAACATTTTGAGTTTTGCTTTCCCACAGAGTTACTCGTGGGAGAGGTTTGCCATTGAGATGTGATAATGGAACTGTTTGGTGTTTATTACTCTTCTGTGGTAGCTGTTCTGTGAGACTGCCTCTTTTGGTTCCCCTCTGCTTATATCTGCCTCATCTCACAAGATAAATAATAATGTCGGGTTTGTGGTTTCCTGATGGTTTGGGGTGAGGCCCCAGTGTCTTTGTAATTACAGGACTGCTTCATCTGGAAAGCATTGACCTTTTGCCTTCTGTCCTGTGTGGAATGACCAACCTTCAGTCTTTGCAGCTGAACAGGGAGGAAAGCTGCATCATGACCTAGCTGTAAAGATGTGCCCCACAAGATGAGCTTTGCAGCATCCGCAGTCCCCCTCTGATTTGTCATGCATACCTCTTTCCTTGGCTTCCATGGTAGCATTAGCCACCTGTTAAGATTGTGATCCCGGAAATTGGCTTAATTTGTAAGTCTCGCCTCTTGAGGATGCAGATAACTTACCATCTTTCAGAAAGTGCCACCCCACTGTGCAGCCTGAAGTTGTGAATCCATTGAGATCCTTTAGGGGCTGATAATGTACCTACCTGAGATCTTTTTTTTCCCATTTCAGCCACTCATTTATTATTACTACTATTTTTTAGTGTATGGTGTTTGCCTGGTTCTGGGCTAGACACAGTGGAAAATACGAGAGGTAGAAGACATGATCTTTGGCCTAAGGGAGCTTTGAGGTGGCTGCCACACATGCAGCAATTGGAGAATGACTCAAGACAGACAGAATCAAGGGCTGTCTTAGAGAAGTTCAGAGTGAGTAAGATCAGGGTAGACCAGATATTCTGAGAAGGCTTTGTTGTGATGCGATTTTGTTTGGGTCTTGAAGGGTGGATAGCATTTGGGTAGGTAGGCCAGGCCATGGTAGTAAGGTGAGAAATACATGAACAATAGCATGGCAGCAGAAATCTGTGTGGCATGTACTGAACAGTACACAGCCCTAAGTTCAAGCAGCATTATTAGAAAACCTGATCTGGACTGAAATTTCCTGGTCATCAGGCAGGTCTGAATGCAGAGGGGTTATGATGGTGAGGTGAACACAAAGCCGAAGTCAGCAGGGTCCTGCCCATCACCAAGGACCTCATTGTTCTCAGCGCAGGCTGTGGAGGGAGGCAGAGCCCCTATACCATGGTACTGGGGGTTTCAATTGGAGAATCCATCACTCAGGTACAAAACCAAACCAACTAAGGAAGCATGACCCGCCCTCCCCACCCAGCTTCTTTCTCCTGGAAGGGTAGTGTTTACTTGTGTCCATACCTGTCTGTTTTAGTCGCAGCCCAGGTTGCAGCTGAATCATTCCTCAGTAGAGTGGACTGCCAATACAGACTAGTGGACCAGGAGATAGTCTCCATCCAGCATCGGGGCTGTGTATGGGGCCTTGTGTGGAACAAGTTAGGAAATGGTGAGGAGGAGGAGATGGTATGGGGCAGTTGTCTGAAGTGCTGACCTGGTCGAAGAGAGTAAACAGAGCCAAGGGAGGAGATACAGCTGGGCCAGCATCCCTCCTCCTGGGCCCGCCCAGCCCTTCCTTTGCCAGTGTTGTGCGGTGCTCATGGATACGCAGTCTACAGAGGGGACACGTCCCTTTTTTTGTTGTATTTTAAAGTTACAAACTGGAAAAAGTTCTCACTTCTAGGGATCCATCATTGATTTCTTAGTTGTGGGCAGTGATGCCAGTACCCTCAGGCAGCCTGGAGAGGGGCTGGGCGTATGTAACCCTCACTTGTTTGTGATTGATCTACTGTCACCTTCCTCAGGACAGGCATGAACCAATGTGAGCTAGCGACAACTATTGCTAAACTTGCTATTACTTGAAATGCGTGTTCTGTGGTGGGAAGCACAGGAGCAGGGAGGGTGGTAGGGGTTTTGACGTGGGGGTCTAGATTAGTGGGTGACAACTGGCTCTTAGGGAGTTGGGTGATTACCTTGGCCTGGTGCCTGCCTGTGCCTAAATATATTGAATGTAACACTGGAATGTGAGCCGGGGCCTGCGACACCCCACCCCGGACTTCTGAGAGGAAAAGCTTGGTAGCTTGCCTCTGTGGGTTCTACTTCCTTCTTGCCTACTTTTCACTTGATTATGTGAACCCCTTATGAAGGTTGGGAATGATGTGGAGATGGCTGCAAACACCCCTACAGTCTACATCCGGGAAGAATTATGGGGTGGAGGTGGTTGGAGTTCCCAGATCCAGGAGAGACTAGAGTAGAGCTAGAAATGCCCTGGGGAGCCAACCTTTTCAGCCAGGGGTGGATTAACCGGCAAGCAAGGCATGGGCTTACATTAAGCAAGGTATGCATGGGCTTACTTATGTTTACTTACTAATCAGTAGTGTACAGTTTTCCATAGGTTTCATCACAGCTTTGATGTGAAAAACAGGTAAAATAGTGCACTACAGATTAGTAGGTAAGCACATGTAAGCCTGTGCATACCTTGCTTACAAGGCTTATCTGTCCCTGTTTTCAGCCGTCACCCTTGGGCCCGCAGAAGAGCGTGAAGGGCTTGCTTGAAGCCCTCTGGTCCCAGCAGGAAGTGGGGATAGGAGGAACTTTTTCTTTAGGTTAGATCTTTTTCTGCTGCCTCTCCTTTAGCTTCTGAGCTCTGTAGTTGGAGAACAAGGCACGGAATACAGCCCTATGGCTACTATAAGGTCTAAAAATCTGTGTGTGTGTCTGTCTGTCCGTCCATCTCTCTTCATGTCTTCATTTGCAGAAGTCTGGACACCAGTTGGGATGTTGAGAGCATCTCCACTGGGAGGAGACCTGAAACTTGTTTTCCACTTTAAAGAGAATGACATGCCCCCTGTCCCTAAGGACATTTTCCCTATGGGAATCCTTGGTTTGGTTTGTGGGAAAGGGGGAAATGGATAAGTGATTTTTATCTCTACTCATCAACACAGCTGTTCTTACACTGAGTTTGTGCTATTGCATACACGTAGCCATCTTTCTTTTCACTGCAGCAGTGTTTATCGGTAGTTCAAAATGATTTATTTGCTCCTGGGGAGTAAAACCTTTTTTTATTAAAAAAAAGAAAAAGGAAAAAAAGAAATCCCTTCCCCGCTATGATAGTTATAGGATTATTGGATCACAAAGCTCAAGAAGGCAAGCTCAAGTCTGCAAGTCCCCATGATAGGTCCTGTTTTGACATTGGAGCCTTCATTCTCAGCACAAAACTACAGGAGGCCTTGAGAAAACTGGAGAGCAAAGTCTTGGGAGGTGTGAGATGGGGTGGGACCTTAGAGACAGAGGCATGGGGACTAAGGTGCGGCAGTTAGAGTAATGAATTGTATTTAAAATATTGATTTTCTAATCTGCCAGGGAAAGACCTTTCTTTACATGCAGATTTCGTATTGTCTTTGTCCTTTTCATTGCTTCTTACCTTCTTGGTAGGCCACCTTTCATCCTTTTCTCTGTGCCCTTTGCCCCAGCCCTCCCCACTCCTCTCTGCCCTTTGCCCCAGCCCTCCCCACTTCCATCTACCTCTGGGAAGCCAGTCCTGCATGCTGAGTTTGTTGACATGCCTTCATTCCCATTTCATCTTGATTTAGAGGGTACTGAAACTGCCCCTTTCCCTCCTCCACCCCCTCCTCCACCCCCTCCTCCACAATGCAGTGAGGCATCAAGGGGCAGGCACAAGGCAGTCAGCTGTGGCGGGAAGACAGGAAGGTCTGTTGCAGCTGGACTGCGATCATTGTTGCTCCTGGAGATAAAGTGTAAGGAAAATTTAAGACACGCTTCACAAGAATCCAGGACAATCACAAAACGCACAGCCGCGCACAGAGCTGGCTCTTAGCTCCCTAACCAGCTCAGGCGGAGCAGGAAGGCTGGTCCAACTACTCTATCCCCTGGTGCTCCCTTGAACAGGGACCTGCCCCTCACGGTTATGCCCAGAATGTTTTCCAAGGGACAAGGATGAGCCAGGCACTGCCCTCTGGGTTGTTGGAATGCCGAAACTGATGCTGCCTGTGACACAGCCACTGACGTACATTTTTTGGTTGTTTTTAAGAAAATGATGAGGGGTGTCTTTCTGGACTTGGAGTGGTTGCCAGTTCTTCACCAGAAGGGGAGCCCTACCCCCCTGCAACCACTTCTGTCCTCTAGCTGCCCCTGCCCTCCAAGCCAAAGTGTGGCCTGGCTTTTGTCTTCCCATTTAGTTTTCCTTCTTTTTGTGCTTAATTTATTAAAATAGTTACTGTATAATTTATTTTCATAAACTATAAAAAAAATTACTAAATGGTTAAAATAGACTTGCAGGCCAATCTTAAATGGGGTGGGAGGGTCTGAGGGTGGGGTGGGGAAAGGGAAAGATGTTTTGATATAAACAAAACAAATGCACTTTGGGTGTGTTTTGGTATTTTTCTGGGGATAGAGGGGGTGGGTGCTGGGATGTCCCTGTAGATTAGTTCCAGAATGGGGTGTCTGTATATACTGTATTAATAGGCATGTTTGACTCTTGTAAAGGGACATTAGTAGCTGCTGCAGGTCCTGTTTGGAAACCCCATGTTCAATTCCCGGTTTTTTGTAAGTGTCAGTGCGGGAGACATTTGAAGCTTGTGTTTGTATCTCCTTTTTATGATTGCTGTACCGACCCATGTCTTTTTGGGGAGGGGTGAAAAGAGATTTGAAATAAAAATGTTTAGAAATTACTTATTACCTGAGTTTTTGTTTTTCAATCCCTCACCCATCTCATGTGCCTCCTCACTCCCCCAATAGGGTCAGATGACCCACCCTTGGGGGCTGAGGGAATCCCTGTGATTTCAACCAATCAAAGCTCCCCCAGAACTTGTCTTGTTGGAAGCAGAGATGCTGAAAAATTCCTGAGACTGATCAGTGTTGCTCAAAGCTGCCTTCTCCTTCCCCAGGAAGTACAGAAAAATTACAGAGAACTTTCTGAGGCCAAGTACCTGTGGTCCTTTTGCTATGGTGAGTAGTGTTAGGGGATTTACCTAGAGGGATTTCGTGTTTTACCATAGACATCATTTCTAGTATTTACCTAGGCTGGCAGTTCAGGTTTTTCATAAATTTGACATGCATCACGCCTGCTGCCTTCGTAGCCCATTTCCTCTTGAGCTGTGCTCTTAGGAGAGAAAAGGACTGAGTACGTTGCTGTGATTGACAACTATGTGTACACGGAGCCACTCAAATCCTTTCTCACTTTACCTCCCAGACCCTCTCTCCATGTTTCCTACTTAGAGAGCCAGTGTTTCATCCTGGAATGTTCTTGGGAATTGCTTACAATTTCTCTGCATTCTGTAGAGTGGGAAGCCCCACTGGGTGAGAAACCTTAATTGTGAACCTAGAAGTTGCATTTTCATGACACTGATTAGAAGTGCCTCAAGGAGAGAGTCTTGAAACCCCTGCTAGCCCCAGTCAAGTCAGCCACACTTCGTTTCTTTTGCCAAAGCACATGTCCCTGTTATGAATTCTGATAGCCATTCTATGAGAGCATTAACTCATTAAATTTTGCTTCCCTTTGGGAAGAAGAGGTGCTCATCAAGCAATAAAGTGTGAACAACATTCCAAGGGAAAATGCTTAAATCAGCTCCCAAATGCTCTAATGGCAAACACTCATGGGGACATCTGGTGTACTAGGCTCAGTGCTCTGTTGGGATAGAGGTCATAGTGAAGATGAGCAAGATGGCCCACTCTCCAGGTGCAGTAAGAGTTCAGTGTGTCTAAAGCTGGCACTACATTCATTCAGGAAAATACCAGCCCCCATATTCAGGAGAAAACAATGTCTATATTGCAGTTTTCTTCAAAAACACTAGGGGGTGAGGGAGGGTGCAGCTGCAGGAAAGGGGCCAGGAAATAATACCCATGCACAGTGAACGTTCTTGAAATCTTTAACTCTATCAATCTCTCACAAAGATGGTGCCAAAGACTCTCCTTTTCAATTTCCCCCTGAGCTCAGCCATTACTTTTCTCTCCCAGTACAAACCTAGCTGTTGTTAGCGGCCAACCAGCCTCTCCTATTCTACCTGTCCCATTACCCCTCCAACTGCAAAATAAAGGACAGAAACAAAACCAATTTCCTTGGAAGGAGGGGCAGGGGGAAAGCAAGTCCTTGATACCTATGAGATGAGGAAGCCCAGGACACAAATAATTGAGCAAATAATCCAAGAAGCTGGACTATATGAAGAACGAGGCATCAGGATTGGAGGAAGACTCATTAACAACCTTCAATATGCAAATGACAACTTTCCTTGCTGAAAGTGAAGAGGACTTGAAGTACTTACTGATGAAGATCAAAGACCACAGCCTTTAGTATGGATTACTCTTCAGCATAAACAAAAATCCTCACAACTGGACCAAAAAGCAACATCATGATAAACGGAGAAAAGATTGAAGTTTCCACAAATTTCATTTTACTTGGCTCCGCAATCAACACCCATGGAAGCAGCGGTCAAGAAATCAAAAGATGCATTGCACTGGGCAAATCTGCTGCAAAAGAGCCCTTTAAAATGTTAAGCAAAGATGTCACTTTGAAGACTAAAGTGTGCATATGCATGCAAAAGCTGGACAATGAATAAGGAAGACCGAAGAATTGACTCCTTTGAATTACGGTGTTGGCCAAGAATATTGAATATACTATGCACAGCCAAAAGAATGAACAGATCTGTCTTGGAACTACAGCCAGAATGCTCCTTAGAAGCAAGGGTGGAGAGACTTTGTCTCACATACTTTGGACATGTTGTCAGGAGAGATCAGTCCCTGGAGAAGGACGTCATGCTTGGTAAAGTAGAGGGTCAGTGAAAAAGAGGAAGACCCTCAAAGAGATGAATTCACGGTGGCTGCAACAATGGGCTCAAGCTTGACAACGATTGTGAGGATGGCGCAGGACCAGGCAGTGTTCCGTTCTGTTGTACATGGGGTTACTATGAGTTGGAGCTGACTCAAGGACACCTAACAACAACAGGACACAAAGAAGGGCTCCAAGCTCTCTCTAAATGCATGCTGTTTGGTTAAATGAGAGAACTGAGCAGGGGGCATTGGGTGGTTCATTGCAACCTCAGATCACTGGACAAAGCCTGCTGTAGCATCTTCCACACAGAGGGCAGAAACGGCTCCGTTATCCTCTCTGTCACCATTGGCACCGGAGAGGAAGGGTCCATATCTCACCTTTAGACTATCTTGAGTTATGGCTGTATCATATCGTTCACACTCCTACTCCAACCACCAAATTTTCAACCCCTTAAAATTCTGTGAAAGCTATTTAATGGCCAACACACACACACAATCCCTCACAGCCATGCAATTAAGTGTCTGTGTATGAAAGGTGAAAATCCAGGTTCAAGGGCTGGCTGACTAGAGACCAAGGAAAACAGGCAACACTCCTGGGAAGGATGCTGGCTCTATCTTTCTTCAACTCACCACCATCTTGGGTACAAGTGTATTCAATGGTGCCAGGCCCTGGGGGTGGGGAGACAGGTGAACAAGATGTAGGCTCTGTTCCTCAGAAGTCACAGTTGAGCAAACTGCACAGAAACATGAACAAGCATTTTGAGAGGAAAGAGCCATTGGTTTGGCTACAAGTGGCGGTGAAAGTCCCGTAGAGGTGACCCGGGAGCAAAATCTTAAAGGTTGAGTGGGACTTAGCAGTCGAAGAGGGTGACAAGAGTCCTCCAGGCAGAGGGAACCCAAGAGAGAAGGTAGAGTGGCAGAACAGATGTCATGACCTGGGGACTTGAAGTCCTACATTGCAACCAGAGTGTAGCCTCCATGGCTGGGGAAGGAGAAACAGCCTTGAAAGTTAGGAAAGTCAAAGTGAAAAGGGCCTGGAACGGCAGATTGAGGAGTTAAGATTTTTGTCATTGGGCTGAAAGAGACATTGAAGACCCCAGAACGTACTGTGGAGTCTGGAAGAGAGGTACCAGGGGTGCAGGGCAATGTTTTGCAGCCAGGGTGGGGGCTTTGGGAGCTGGAATCACATGAGCATCTTTTTCAAACCTCACAAGCAGTTCCTTCCCCCACCTCCCCAACTCACTCAAGGCTGAGACATCCTCCTAGAATCTCGAGCGGTGTGTGTGGGGCAGAGGGAGTGATAAGGATGGGGGATAAAACTCATTCATCATAGGGGCCCCTTGCCTCCTCACACCTACATGTCCACTTGCTAACACTCCTATGGAGGACCCAGCCCAGGATTTGAAGATGGGCAGACCTGGGTATGAGTCCTGGCTCTACCACTAGCTAGTTGTGTGATCTTGGGCAATTCATTTAGTCTTTCTCAGTTTGTTTGCTCATCTTTAAAAGGGTGGGGGGGGGGTGGGCAATATTCTTACCTACCTCATGTGTGAAGAGTAAATGAGATAATGCATATAAAACCTGTGGTACATCTTGAGCACTCCTTACATAATTGCAGGCACTAATTATTATTGTCATTATTAGCGGTATTGTGAAGAGAAAGACTGAGAGCTTTTTGCCTTCCCAAAGGTACAAGGAAGAATGAAATGACTTCCGGGAGCCCCGTCACCCAAGGCTGCAGCGAGAGGTGGATTGTAAGGAGGAAGGAAGGAGGGAGGGGAAGTTGCTGGAATGTAGGGCTCTGGGGCGATTTGGAAGAGTAGGTGGAACCGGGCA